ACCACAGTGCCACCTAGGGGCTAGGTGGCAACAAATCAGGAGAGGAATCACTCTTCTCCATAGCGCCCGCACCCCCATTTTGCCCCAAAGCCAAGCTCAGTGAATTAAACAGCGGCAAAACACCGCCAGGAGGCACTCATGGGATCAGCCCACAGCCCTGTCCCAAGGCCAGGCAGCCCTCCAGCTGATGTTGCTGGCCATGGCTGATGGGAGCTGCAGTCCGACAGCATCTGGGGGACAGCGCATTACCGCCCCGGCCTGTCCCGTCCAGCGTCCCGTTTCCCACATGGTCTATCCAGTACAGTTCATGGTGGCAAACCAGCTGTGCGCAGGATCCCTCAAGCAGGATAGGCGCAAGCTGCGCACCAACTGGGGCACACAGGTTTACTGCCTCTGATAATGGATGTCAAGCATAGATCAATTTCTGCACCACCGCAGCCTCCTCCATGTTTGTTAATAGTCTCTTCCTCCACGAAAGTGGCCTTAAATTCTTTGCAACAGGAAGAAGCGTGCTATCTCAATTGAATGAGATGATAATAACCACCAGCGTTTTATCAATACTTCCCTATTCTGCACGTTTTGAAATCACAGCATCTCTGTGCTGCGATTCTTCTAGATGGCTGTTCTCAGCACAAGAAGCTGGACCTGCTCAGCAGTCGGGGATGCTACAGCAACAGCGGTTCTGGGTGCAAAGTGGACAAGAAGGCACTGAGGACCCTTCGGATTATGGGGGCGCTAGTGGTACAAGTGTGAAATAAGCCGCTGTTCTGTTTGTCACTCATACATGCACGTAGACCACATAAGCACACCGAAGTCACCTTTATTCAGCCACCTCCAAAGGCCTGCATCCAGCTGCTCTTTCCTGCAAGTAAATATGCACCTTGCAGCTCTACTGAGAATCTGAGAGTGAAGAAGCAGTTGGTGTTCGGTTCACATTTCAGCTTCTTCTACTTCATGATGCTGGCAACAAAATTAAAACACTCCCATCCCTCTTTTGGGAGGCTGCTTATGGGTTTGTGTGTGGAATAAGTTGCATCTCATAGCCAGAATGTGATCCTGTGCATGTTTAGACAGAAAACGTCCTGCAGCCCGCAGCATGCCTGGGGCGTATCTAAGCAGGCACAGAATTGTGCCTTTATCTTTACACCACTGTGGGATAACAGACGTGTTCTGTAGCAAGACATGAACGTGGGAGAGCTTTTGCAGAACTGCAACATTTAAAAGGAGCAAACGTGTACTTTATATGTGTGCCTGTTAGATACCAAACTTTATCCCTGATGTACTTCTTAAAAAGCACTTTTGAGGCATTTTTAGCCTACCTTCCTTCCAAGGAATTCAAGGCAGCCCCCCCCCCCACCCTCACACGCACACAATTTCATGTTCATCACAGTTCTGTGAAGTAGGGCAGGGTAAAAAAGCATGACTAGCCCAAGTTCACCCAGGGTGCTATACAGGCTTAGGATCTGAACTCTGGTCACTCAAATCCCGGCTGTCCCTTTAGCTGTGACACCACACTGGCTTGGGCTTCAACAGAAGTCAACCACCAAATTCTCATGACTACCACTTAAGAGCCATCACGTTTCTGTATGTCTCACTACACATAAATACAACTCCTAGCATTTTGAACCAAACCTGACATGCCAAGATTCATGTTCAGGATTACCAATGTGATATTTGGCAGTCATCTAGGATAGGGTTTTGCTATTGTATTGAAGTGTTTTACCTTCTTAGTGCCATCACGCTGCATGTTGTTCTGCATTTCTTGAAGGCTAAGTCTGTACATTGCCCAGAAGTTTAGTCAAACTCGATTTTGTCTCCCTGCTTCACGATGGAAAGTACCCACCTATCAGATGTGATGGACTCCCAAATGGGGAGTCAACTCCCCAAAAGGAAGAGGGGAGGATGGGTTAGAGGATGGAGGAATGGTTCGCACGTCCAGTCAATGTTGGCATTTGTTGGTCTTGGGGCAGTGACATCCCTGTTGGTAACAACACACTGTCTGTTTGCGGCTCTGCTGTTGGCGAGGCTGGAACTGTTGAAGGTATGGCTGGTATCGGTATTGTGACTGGGGCCAAGGTCAGTTATGTCAGTTCTGGGTGGGAATCTCCATGAGACAAGCAGTGACATGCACTTTATAGATGTTCTCCAGCTTGTGGTCAGTCCTCGCGTTGAAGAGTCCAGAACCGTCATATGGCATGTTCTTGACATACCTCTTGGTCTCATCCGGAAATTACAAGAACATAGCCAAGCATGGTGCTACAGGGCGATGGCACCAATGAGAGCCCTCGAATCGCAGTCAACATGATGTCTTGCTGTACTTAGTTGTTGAATGGCCATCTGCATGGCTTCACGGATAAACACGCGAGCAAGGTCTCTCTGCTGTTCTGGGAGACTCGAGGTGATGGATTCCAGCCTCTGAATCAGGAAAATCTGGCTATCTTTGCCTCATAATTGGAGATGCAAAGCCCGAGTCCCATGGCAGCATAGATACGGCAAGGCATCGTGTCCATTTTGCATCCTTCCTTGTCCCGAGGAGTAGAGAGCTCCTTATTTTCCTGACCTTGGGAGGACTCGATGATGATGGAGTTTGGCTTGGAGTTTTTCAAAAGGAACAGGATGTCCTGTTCCCGAACCTTATACATCGACTTGAGCCAACGGGAAGTCGGGTGCGGTTGGTTTGGGAAGTGCCAGGTGTCAGTCATGGCTTGCTGAAGAGTTGTAATAAGTGGCAAGGAGATGGCAGAAGACAGTCGTAAAAGTTGTCAGTGTTGGGATCACAGCGATGCTGTACCTCGATCTCCAGTGACCTGGCCAGTTGGGCCATCAGTTCTCTGAAGGTGGAGTAGGACTCTTCCGGAGAGCTGGGGTCCTGTGTGGAGATGACTGCGTCCAGAGAGGTGGATGCCTGCTTCGAGTCTTCCAAATCCGAACCGTAGTGATGCGGGGGACTGGAGGATGAAGCAGCCAGAGGAGGAGGAGGCCTGGAGAGAGCAGCTGCCAATGTCGAGGAAGTGTCTCTCAGGACCGGATGAGGCATGGAGTGATGCAGACGCATATTCATACAGTGGGTAGCAGTCCCATGGGTGGTACTGGGATGGCTCGAAGCCACCACAGGACATTGGCACCCAGTGCCTAGAAGCTGACTTGGAGCATGCTGTTGCTGGCGAGTCTGCAACTGAGGCAGAGCCCTCGGAGAAGCCTCAGGAGAAGTCAGCATCGGAGTTGGCAAACATGCCAATGGCAGTCCAGTCTGGGATCAAGGGGGCAAGTCCTGGATCTCACCATCAGACATGAACCCTCTAACAACAGCCTCCAAGCGGTCTGGGCTCAACGGGGCCGAGAGGGCGATCCTCTGAGGAGACCCAGGTGGGGTCACCTGCATGACCGACAGGATATTCAGACCAGCCAGTGTCGGGATCAAGATGGTGGTCAGTACCAAGGGCATGGTCAAACCCGAGTCTCCCTGTGGCAGCTTGGCAAGCTTTTTCTGCTTGCAATTCAATTTACCAGCCTTGGCCTTCTTGGCTTTTTAGGAGCCGAAGGTTCATCAGATCGGACATGCTTCCTCTTCTCCTTTTGTTTGTGGTGAGGAGAATGAGAGGAGCATTTGGCCTCTGTAGGGATCGTACCATCAGCCAATGGATGAGAGGAGGAGCGGTCACAGACAGGCCCACCGGCGTGGTCTCAGCCGCGAGCTGAGTAGAGGTGGCCAAAGCCTGGTCCCACAGGATCTTCCATCGGTGGCTCTCCCAATTCTCACAGGCCTGCCTAATGAAAGACTGGCATGGCCATACTTATCAATCCCGTGGCCTTCCTCCAAGCAAAGAAGGCACAGGTCGTGTGGATCAGTGGGGAACATTTTGGCCCTACACTTGGAGCACTTATGAAAAGCTGCTCGCTGACCCATCGAAGAAAGATGTAACAAGAATAACGATAGGAGGTTTTTTGTTGTTGTTTTTTATATAGGGAAAAGGAAAAAGGGGGGAAAGCTTTCTAGAAATGCGAGGGATTAGGAGTTATAACTTGGAAAGGAGATCGTAACAAGAAGGAAAAGGAGCAAATGAAGGGGTTTATAGAAACAACGGTATGCATAGCTACGAGAGACAGCAAAAGGCTCGAGGCACAGCAAACAGCAGTCGCAAGAAGAATGGGGAAATGGTGGGCACTCCACCCTTTATACTATAGGGGGGAGAGGCACGGAGTTCCCACCAAAACCATCTTTCCGGCTACAGGCACTGCACAGGCGCAGCACCCATAATGCGTGATGCACAGAGGCCACAATGAAGAACAGAAGACCACTCCAAATTCAGTTTTCTGCCACTCTTTCCAGAGACTCTGGGGTAGTTGCACATCAGGTCCATGGAAACTATGAAACAAACTGTTGTCTCGTGTTGTGGGTTCCAAAGACCCAACTTACCATGTTGAAATACCACAATGGGGTTTGGAAGACATGATAGACCAACAATGGCAAAAAGCCACAATGGCTGGTCTGAACCCAGCTGATGTTACATATGCAACATTCCTGCTAGTAAAAAGAAAAAAAATAAAGTGCAATAATTTGAGCAAATAACAGCAAATGAATAACAGGGTATTAATCTAGAAACCAAGAAAAGGTAATTTCATTCATCTTCAGGACAACTGCTTCTGAGGTTCCCTGCTGAATACCTCTTTCCTCTGCCATAGAATCCTCTAACTAGATAGATCTCTAGATGATTTGGACTTCTCCAGACCAGCCATCATGCAGAATAGCCAGGGATTCTGGGAGCTGAAATCCTATAGAACATAGGAGCAGCAATCCATCATGTGGATTAAGAGACTGGAGTTCACCAACTTTCAGAGTTTGTGTGCAACGATGCCATGGCTAGCTAAGAAAAGGCTTACTTACCAACAATATGTGGCATTTGGGCTAGAAAGTGAGTATGCAGATCTCAAACACTGCTTATAACCCAAATGTCTTTTAACAAAACACAACATGCTAACAAAATGAAAATCAACTTTATTTACACTATTTAGCATATTTAACAATATGTTAAATTTCACATATATATGTTTTCCATTGTAAGGTGCACATGAAGTATTTTTCTTTTCTCATTCCTTTTCACAGTTTTGAGTAAATTACATTAACCAAGGGCATGAACAAGTCAGACTTAGGGGTGTTTTTAAACATGTTCTTAATGCTCCCAGTACAATAACTGAAACTTTAAAACGCCCAACTTTGATTAGATTTTGCTTCACGTATTTTATCTGGGAAATAATGCCTAGTATCTGACTCAGTTATGCTTGCTCCAGCCCAATAACATCAGCTAATCTTAATTTGATGAACCTGTGGGTCAACATTTTTCTATATTCTGCCCAAAACTCGACACACCTTCCTCCCTAGAATAAATGGCTTAACATCAACCAAACAGATTTTTGTCATTAAGAAATCTGAGCAATAGTTATGCCACTCTGAGCCTGTTAATTCAACAAGACCAGCCCATTAAATATGATGGACTTAAAAACAGAATTTGAGCGATAAGAAAATATTACAGAATATTAAATTGCGTGTGGCAGGACAGGAAAAGACAGCTCTATGTAAAGGCATCACATTCTTCCTTTGGTGAAAAAATTTATCCCTTTCAGTTCTTCAGGCAAGTATTCTTGCTCTACAGGGTCCTTGTACATTGGGTTATATTTATACTCTTTGCCATAGCCTAGGTCTTTCATGAGCTTGGTTGGCGCATTCCTCAAGTGCAAAGGAACAGGTGGAAGTGGTCCTTGGTGCTTTCTCAGGCATGCCTTGACTTGGCTGTAAGCGCTGTACACTTCTATAGATTTTGGTGCTCTGGCAAAATAGGTGACGCACTGTGCCAGTAAGACCTGTCCAACAAAAGGAAATTAACAGAGCCTTGCATCACATGAAAAGGCAGGCTGCTTGCCTGTAACTGTCTGCGGCCGAGTGGTCACCAGTGCATTCACACAGATGGGGCCTGCAGGCATACGTGGAGCCTGTTCGGGAAGAATCCAAACTAATTGGTATTCCACAGGAGCCCCCCACCCCCTGGAGCCACCCTGGCATGAGGGAGGGACTCCTCCCTGGTCCTCAATTCTGAAGTAATGCAACTGTCATTGTGCCCTCCTGTCCCTTGAGGGGACACCGGTGGTAGTCACAGGGTGACACTGAGAGGGGATGGTGGGCAGGTTTGTGTGAATGCACAGATGACCGCTAGAAGAACGACAGTTACGGAAGCAACTTGCCTTTCTTCTTTGTGGTCTCTGTGCACCACACATGCGGGCAACTGGCGAGCGTACCTCCTGGAGGTTACCTGAGGAGTGAAGACAGGACTGCCCTGCCAAAGGCACAATCAGTGCTGGCCCAGATGTTGAGGCAGTAGCGCCATACAAAGGTCGATGTGTTCGACCATGTTGCAGCCCTGCGGAGGTCAGGCAGGGGACTTCCGCCTAAAGGGCCATGGAGGTGGCTGTTACTCACGTGGAGTGAGTGTGGATCAGTCCAGAGGGCTGGTGCTCAGGGAGCTTGCAGGTGAGGGAGACTGTATTAATGACCCATTTTGCTAGTCTCTGGGAGGAGATAGGGAGTCTCTTGTTTGCACTGCCATAGGTGATGAAAAGCTGCTGTGAGCATCGGAAAGGTTAGTTCTAGACTTGTAAACAGCCAGGGCTCTCCGGATGTTGAGGGAGTGGAGCGCTATCTCCATCGGGTCTGGCAGCCCCGCTGGTACCAGCAACATGCTGGCAATCCATGTCGGCCTTGGCTCTGATGTCATTGGCCTGGTCCTATGATTCCCTTGGGAGGGATCTGCATGAGGTGGTACATGGCCATGGTGGCCTGGCACTTCTCCATCTTAAGGAACAGACGTGGCATCCCACTGCATCTAGGTGGTGGCCCTCTTTATTGCCTGGCATGGAGCACTCCCTCCTGGATGACCCCCACTGGAATGATGGTGTTGGGGCGAGGGTGTTGGAACAGGATTGGTGTGTCCTGCTCCTGCACCCAGTACATATTCTCTAGTCTCTTAGGAGTCAGGACTACAGAAGTGAGGGATTTCCATTCCTGCTGCACTGTGCTCATCAGTGTTGCCAGGGATGGTAGAGCCACTGGGCCTGTGGTCTCCACATAACCTGCCTTGAACACTGGGTCCTTGACTCTGCTGGGTTCCTGCTGTGGGTTCATCCCCATGCTGAGTACCATCTGCAGGATCTGGTCAGAGGACAGTCCAAGATCTTCTGACAATGAGGGTGCATCCGGGGGGGGGGGCACTTCTGCATCTGGTGAAGGCTCAGAGGGTTGGTCCAGTGAGATGGACTCTGGGTCAGATGGGCAGCTGTCAGAGTCCAAAGTTCAGGACTGAGGCTTGGAAGGCAATGGGCCCAGAATTGGCAAGGAGCATAGCAGTGGCTGGATTTGTGAAGGCAAACACTGGGTCCTGGCAGCTATCACAGGCCTGGATGCAGACAGTTTTGGCTTGGGCTTCAGGTCATCAGGGCTCTGTCAGAGTGAGTTGGGTCCCAGTATGGGTGCTCTGGATATCTAGAGTTGAAGGAAGCAGTCATGGTAGAAGCCCTTGTCATAGTCCCTCCTGTATGGGAGCATCAACCAGTTGGGTCTGCAGTCCCACTCAGAGATGGGTGAGCGGAAACAGAAGCAGAACCTGTGCTGGTCGGGTATGATAGAATGCATCTTTCTGGGATCAGTGAGGGAGGAAAAACCTGTCTCGGTCCAGAGACAACAGAAGTGCCAGCTGCCTAGGTGAAGAGGACTCCCTTATCTTGCCAGTCATAGCTGCCTGGCATATTGGTGCCACAACCTCCTGGGCAACTCTCAGTGCCAGCAGAGAATGGCACTCAGGATCAGACTCATACTCTGTGTCAAAGATATGAAGATTGGCAGCAGGGCCTGACTCGTCATAGTCTTAGAGTGATTGCTGCCATTTTTGTTTTTTGCTGTGTCGGCCATTTTGGTGGTCCTTGTCTTTTTTCCACTTTCTTGGCCTTGGCAAGCTTCAACATGTGGCCCATCAGGGGAACAGTCAAAGAGGGTCCTGGCATTGCTGGAGGGAGCGCAGGGGAAGTTTGGGTCCCCAAGGTTGATAGCTGCTCCACTGGATGAGGGGAGCCAGCCCCACAGAGGCCTCTGCTGCAGAGCTCTACTTTCAGGCATTCAGCCCTGTGCTTTCTCATTTGGTAAACACCTAGCAACAGTAGCAGGATTCTGCCACATGGCTCTGTCCCAGGCAGAAAAAGCAGAGTGAATGTTCATCAGTTAGCAGGAGTCTGTTGTCGCAGCTGAAACATTTTCCAAATGGAGCTTTGAGTGCCACTGTGGGGTTGGGAAGGCAAGACAAAGCGGAGAAGTGAGAGCACAAGGCATAGGGTAGTACAAGAAAGTGGGTCAAAAATACGTATACAACAAAGATATATATTGTTTTAGATATAGGAAAGAAATTAAAGAGGAGTTCTTTTAGATGAAGAGAGAGATTTTAGATGAAGAGGAGAGGACTCATCGAAATAGATACGAGGAGTGGAGAACTTCCCGATGCACCCACAACAGCACTCATAGAACTGAGGGCAGGCCCATGGGAGGGGGTCCCATCTAATACTAATAAATTCGCTTCCCAAACAGGCTCCAGGCATGCGTGCAGTGCCCATTTGTGTGATGCATGGAGACCATGAAGAAGAACCCAGTTGCTTTCCTGCTGCTTAGGTAACATTTGTTACCCAGTTGACCTGTTCCATATTATTGCAGAGAAGATGCCTGGGCAGGTGGCTACCAAGAAACAATGGCGCACAGGAAACATCCTTGGTTTCTAAGTACACTCTTTCACATAAAACTACTGTGAAAGCTTTTGGATGCAGCTAATGATGGATCCTATGAAAACAGAGCCGAGGACTGTAAGCTCTGCAGTTCTTTTTAAAATGGTGCTATATGCAGGCTCAGAATTAAAACATGTACACAGGAAAGTCGTGTGGTACAGCTGGCCCATGCCACTTTAGGTTGCTGGGGGGGGTGATCTCCAAATGAACTAGAGAACCTTGAAATGGTCAACAAGTATTGAAACCAACAATTACATACCACTTAAGCTTATCCTCTGAGCCAAGAAAGTACTAACTTTTGACATCAGCAGTTATACCAGTAATAAAATGTCTTTTTAAGGGATTGCATGGGATTTAATTCTGAGTAGACATGTACGAGTTGGAGGCAACCTGATGGCACATAACAAGAGCAGCAGACACATACAGGAGTGTGCTTTCAGCCCCATACGAGAAAAGGAAGCAAAAGTGTTCAAAGAACAGAACAGACACTGGTTGAAATAGTGAATTCATGACAACTTTACCTCGCATTCTGGCATTCCTATAAAGTGGCAGCCTTGATAAGCAGCCACTGCTTGAGGTAAAGCCAAAGGATCTGCCAGTCCTGCAATCAAAAATTTAAAGAATGAAAATCAGCATTAGTAACTTAGCATTTCATATGCACCTTTTCATTTTGTAGGCAGTTAGTATTGGGATCAGCATCGCTGGGCACTGGCCAAGGCCTCCTGCCACCACCTGGAGATCCCACTCCTTTCTGCCACTGTCTCCTGTGAGCAAGTGAGCCGCAAACGCAGCCAGGTGCATGCAACAGGGCTGGCGGAAATGGACTTCACTGCACATTCCTCTCCAGAGCTCCTCTGACAATGCAGCATGGGGGACGGGGATCCCGCCTGATGCACAGGAAGAGAGGAGAGAGTTCCCCAAAACTGGCTGGAGGCATGTTCTATGAGCTTCCCATCCACAGAAGGCAGATCCTGGATCCAGCCCAAGCAGCAGCAGTAAGAGCTTCTGCTCACCTGGCCCTCTCAGCAACTGTGCACTCTGGGGCCAAGAGGAGCAGGCAAGAGTAAGGAGAGCAGCAGGGGAGTCTAGTGAGGGCATCTTGCCCTCCAAATCATGGGACCAGATTTGCTTTACAGCCCTTAAGTGCTGAATGACAGGGCTGGGTTCACATATCCAACATTTTATCAAATGGATCATGATTTTGGTCAGCATGCCATTTGCACCGTATTGGGCACGGATCTCCCAGACTGTGCTATCAGTTGAGATTAACAGAGTCAAGAGTCCTGTCAAGAGTCTGTGAAAGCTAAGTGAGAGATGGCAGCAAGAGAGAGAGGGAAGTGATTCTGTTCCTTGCTGTTCTCTCCCAAGCATGTACTACAGCTTTTATTTTAGCTCTTTCCCTGCCCCTGGCGATGTTGCCCAAATACCCATGACTGACTATGGTGTTTGGGCTACACCACTCTATGCTCTGCTTGTGAAGCTCATCCAATGCCCTTGGATGCCTAAGGTGCACCAAAGCCAGAACAGGAGGCCCCTTTCAGATGAGTAATGCCCTAAATGCTGCTGTACAAACGCCTGGTGAGGCACAGCAACGGTACAGCCAATGGCCACTCCATGGTACACGGTGCTGCTAGCAGAATTAGTCTCCAGAATTGGTCTGAAAACAATAAGCATATTTTGGCAAAACCAAAGATCTATCCCAGACAAGCACAATGTAATTTTGGAAGTTATGTCTTTGCACGGTTTAAGCCACATAGGAGCAGGTACATTACAAATGTCTATGGACCAGATGCCCCTTTCATTGGGGTTGAAATTAAACAACCAGATGGCTATTGCAGTTTAGCAAGTGCAGCTCCAAATCACTTCTACATTAGCATCTTACAGTGCAAGACCCAAGTCGATACTGACCAAAGGCAATAAATTACATTTTTCAATGCACAGATAAGCAATGAGTGTGTGCAAAATGGTGTCCAGAGAATATCAGTAGGAGCATGGCCTAGATCTATACTTAAGTGACGGCAAAAAGATTTCTGAAAGCCAAGGGAAAACCGCATAGCTGTCCTTCTGAGTTACTCACCTATATCTTCACTTGCAAATCTCACCAGCCTTCTTGCCACATACAGTGGATCTTCACCACCTTCAAGCATTCGGGCAAGCCAGTAAAGGGAAGCATTTTCATCAGAGCCTCGCATAGATTTGTGGAGTGCAGAGATGCAATTGTAATGTTCTTCGCCTGTTTAGAAAAAGTCACAGCAGTGTGGATCATTCAATGCAACTGGCTGGCAGTACATTCAGGGCAGACCGAAGGAAACATCTTTACAGTGCCTAATAAGTTATGCCACTAAGTGCTCTAAGATGTGGTGATGGTTGCCGGATTAGACGCCTTTAAAAAGAGTTCCATACAAGTGTGGTCACTGGCCAGGTTCCATGGCCAGTAACAATAAGCAAGCTCTGCTCTAAGCAATAATATATGTCCAGATATTTGGAGCAAGCAGATAGAATTTGGCACCCCTTTCATGCCTTACTTTAGAGGAGAAAGACAGATGGTTGGATAGGAAGGACTCTTTGATCAAGCAAGGCAATCTATTTACTCGCAATTCTTTGTAGGCTTATCCATGTTTGTAGTTATTTAGACTAACAAGCATCTTTATCCAGATGCACATTTGGATATTACATACTAATTGTTACATTGCATCTTTCCCTCCAAGGAGCCCAAGGTGGCATATGCACCCCCGCCCCCGTTTTATCTTTGTAAGTTACATGAGAGACAACTTCATGGCAGAGAGGTACCAGAACCCAGATTTCACCAGTCTAACCACTATACTGCACTGGATCGACCAGGTATCAACTAGTATAACTTAATCAAAGCAACTGTATACATTTGCTTTTTTGCTACACATTTTTCCTCTTATTTTTCCTCTGTTTCCCAATGTGGGAAATCATAGCAAATGTTATCATTACATCAGTCTTCACAACTCCATTACCTTCCAAATTTTTTAGATTACTTCTCCCACAATCCATCACCTTGACCCTATTGATTATGGTCATGGGAGTTGTAAGCTGATATATCTGGAAGGCACCAGGTTCGGTAAGGCTGTTATTAGTGAAGTAGAGCACTATCTGGCTCCACATCCTTCAGCCTTTAAAGTCAAAGACAAAAACCTGTATTTTTATTATGCAATGAATGCAGAATTCTCCACACTCATCCCACCATTTCTGTAGGGAGGGTTGGAGCCTTCTTGTCTCCTTCAGATCCAAGAGTTGTGAACCCCAGTTTGTTATTCAGTTCAGGTCAGCAGACATGGTTTAACTGAATTTTACATTCCCCAAGGAGGCCCCAGCACTATTTAAAGAGGCTGATTTAAAGAAGCTGACCCTGATGGTTCCGAGGTGCCACCAGCAGGTGCAGAGGACGCTTCCTGCCAAGTGGCCACAGCTCACACTGTCCCTGCCATAACTAGCTGCTGGCCCTGCATTTCTGCCAAGGAAGGTGAGGAGGCCTGCATCCCTCTTAACTGGGGCTTTCTGCAAATCAACCCGCCTGTATCGCAAAAGGCCAGCCTCCCCTAGGATACCTGGGGGCTAGCAGCAGGCAGCTATTTTTAATAGTGCTCCACACAAAGTGCGCACTGGCATACCATCCTTATCAGGCCAATATAAACAGCATGTCTGTGCTCTGTCACAGCATCCAGGCTTTCAACTTGAGCCGGCAGCAATAAACCCAGCAGCTGGGAGTCTCATCACACTCCTGGGAATGGCGTCGCCTGGTCTCTTAAAACCAAGAGCGCCTTTAAATATTTAGAAAGGCAAGTGCAGCCAGTCTATTCCAGCTGGCATTTTTTTGCACGATGCTTAAGTCACTGGGTTTTTTTGCAGGGATGGGGAGGGGGTGAGAGTAGGAACAACCCCATGTCAGTGATGATATCACTACAGCCCATACACACACTCACTACAGATATACAAACATGCTTGGAAGCACAAAGATGGTCCCATGTGGGGAGAGCTGTGCGTTAAAGGGTTCTGGTGGTTAAACGTTCTGATCAGTGCCTTCAAATGCTCAGCTTTTAACTCAACCTTCATTAACATGGTGCCCTCCCAATGCTTTGGACTAGAGCCCCAGACTCTGAAAGCTGTAGTCCAAGACAAAGGGAATCCTGCACCACATTGAGGAAGGCTGCCCGAATGGTTCAAAATGTGGTATTCAATTCAGAAGGCTACAGCCTTTAACATCTTAAATAAAGAAGTTTCCAAAGCGCTTCCATATGAATCCATGTTTTTCTTTACAGCACTAACAGTGACTGTTTCCGCTTCACTGAAGTTTTTCCTCTCTGTAATTCACAATGTGATTGAATATCCAGCCTCAGGGAACGTTTTTAACTGGGGGCATTCTAGATGTTTGTGAACAAATAAACATGTTTGAGGCCCTCTATGTGTGCCATTTTATAACTCTTGGACTTCAAAATGAACCACTGAACTTGATCTGAGGAAACAGGCCAATCCATCTGGTATTCTGGTGAGGATGCTTCCAAGCTCCTGAACACCACAGTGGCTGTATGTTGTCACTTTTGCTTTAAACAGAAGAAGCAGAGGTTGGGCTGCTAGGGTACCACTGATCCAAATTCATTTTCCATGTTGAAGTAGGAACTTTGTGATGTTTCTTGCATGCATCTGTGCTGAAGGTTTGTGCTTCATGAGAAAGAAGCTTCAGAGTGAAGCCACCTTAAAAAAAAGAAGAAAAGCAGCCAAACCACCTGCCCCACAGTGGAGGACTAGGTGGAGAAGGAAGCAGAAAGCTAAGACAATGCTAATCCTGAGTAGACAGAGTAGGAAGCTAGAGGAAAGAGTTGGAACTAGCCAAAATGAGACAGCTGAAAAAAAGAAGCCAGTCAACTTGGCCCTTTTCAGATGCACTGGACCACAACCTCCACAAACTCCCATAATTCCCAGCCACTAAAACTAAAGCCATTCTGGGATTATGGGAGTTGTAGTCCAGCACATCTAGAGGGCACCAGGCTGGAGTGAGGGATGGAAATTCCACCTGGCCTGTCTTTGTCTCTTTAGCAGAAGCTTGAGCTGTGGCAATTAGCAGGTGAAAAAGCACTAAGGGCTTTTTGCAAGGAAATCACTCCATGGTTTTAAAGTTGGCAACCCTAAAAAGAACCCCCATTTATTTGGAAAGGGTCAGCCTACCCCTGCCCATTGGGAACCTTTGACTGTGGAACATGGAAACCAGCTTTTTCCCAGCTCGATACCTCCACATAAAATTCCTGCCTACAGAATTCCTGAGCACTGGCCATGCTGGCAGGGGCTCATGGGTGTTGCTGTCCAAAGCAACTGAAAGACACCAGGATGTAAGCAAGTCTTTTACAAGTAAATTGACCTTTCTGAGGTTTCCCATGTAGGTTTTGGATTGAGTACACTATTTCAAAGGGTCTGACTTTAGAAAACTAGATCATACATCACTTATGGAGAAAGACCAATAGCTCTTCATCAAATATATCTTCACCACCCATATACCAGTCTGGCTAACAGAAAGTAACAGCGGGGGTCACTTTCTGCCAGGATGGAATTGGGAAAAGGGGTAGGTACACATTGCTATAGTATCCTACTTTGTGTGTGCAGTCCTCAGCAACGATGTTAAAATCCTAAACATGCACATAACATGCACATACAAACACGTGCTAATATGAGAAGAGAATATATCTTCATGCCAAGGATTATACACAAGTATCAGGCACTTGGAAATGAGATCTAACACTACATCTGTTTAGTAGCTGGCCCTGGTCACTGCAGAGACAGGACAAGACAGATCACTGGCCGTGCTATAAGGTTATACATAGCTGTATTGGAATAATTGCCCCAGTTAATGATTAAATCTTTACATCAATGGATTAAACTGAATGTTAGTCTAACTTAAGTCTTACTTGCTGCAATCAGTATGCTATAAGTAGAACTCACACTGATACAACCCAGTTGTGTTTGGAGTAAGGTGGAAGCACGGTCCTTTCACTGCAACTCTTATCTTTCTTCATCATTGCTCAATTTATATTTTGCACAAAGCTTAGAAAAGGATTGCAGACTTGTCTCTCATCCTGGCATTTGCTCTATGCCCCGGGTGATAATCCAACACATTTTATTGGTTGACAAATGGGAAAGATGAGCCACTTCCGGCAACAGAAGAAAGCTCAGTGTTAGGAAAATGAGAAGTGCATTTGTTGGAAGACTAATTCAATATGAGTACATAACTAGTTAAATGAAGGGAGACAAATCTAATCCTCAAAGCACAATCTCCAATTCCAATCTCCTCCGCAAAGACAGACAGAAATGGCCAGCGTTTGTAACACATAATGGTGCCAAGTTACGAATTTAGCAAGTGCTGGTATCAAATTAGGAATCCGTGCACACATTTATACGCAAGTAGTCCCCCATAAGCAAATGGCAGAATTCATTTCCTTAAAAAGTAATGCCAAAAATAAAACAGATCATTGACAATTTCAACTAAATATTGACATGAGTGGCAATATTGAGGGGGAAGGCATTTCATGGAAAGATCCCCATCCATTTTGGGAAACAAATGAACATATACCAATTCCTGAAAAGAAGTTTAACCCAGCCCATCAGTAGCACAGAATCTGGAAAGGCCACAACTGTGACACTTCAGGGTAGAAATGGGATTCTCTGATCCATGATAGAGTCAGATGATTTCTCCAGATCTGAAATTGAGACTAGAAAGCACATTACTGTTTAATTTCAGATTTTACACACAGCTTCCCTTTCAAAATTAATCGCCATCACCTGCATGGGGTTTACTCCATCCTTTAACAGAAAGCATGGAATATATTAGTCCCTTTCTGAATTTTGCCTGGCCTCCTCCAACCCTGATCTTCCTCTGTTGAGCAGGAAGATGAAGAAAAACTGCAAGGCTGTTTGGCTGAATTTGGTTGCAGTTTTCTCTGGATCAGGAGCCCTAACTGAGAAGGATTCTTGACTAGTGGAAGATGGTCCCTGTGTTCAGCCAAACAGGGTGCATTGGTTCTGCATGGGTGCATAGAGGTTGAATTTTAGATTGTACTCCAGTATCAGAAACACTCTGCACATGGAAGAACAGCACATGGCAGCGAGAAGACAAAGCATAAGTGGTTTTCTAGGCACAGCAATAGCATATCCAGCAGCCCACACCCTCCTGCAGCAACCTGGAATGGCGCAGCCCTAGAGAACCCTTGTGCTTTGATTCTGCTGCTTCTACAGACTGGACATTAGAGGCTTCCCAGCTCAAGGAAAGAAAGCAGAGTTTTGTTTTGCAGAAAAAAATCTTAATATAAATGAAACTGAGGGGCACTCATGCACACACATAGCCTCAATTGCGCATTATTATATGATTTTGAAAGCAATTCTTATCCTATGAGTACAATATAGGCAATGCTCCTGAGCAATACACAAAATACCACAAGCTATTCTTGGCTACGGACAAAGCCATTTTACGCATGTGCCACATTGTCCCAAGGGAGAAGTGGTATGCGTTACCCTATCCTCTTAAAAGTTGTTCCCTTCCAGACAATAGCATAGAGTTCTCAGTATGTTCGCTGCCAGTCTCCTCTCATTAGGCTCATCTTCCCAAGTAGCACGGATGCCTAGAATTCTTCCTGCCTATTGTTGCAACAGGTGCAGTGGGTTCCAAAGAGCATTTCAGGGAGAGGGGGGCTTGCTTGGGGGTCTCTTGAAAGCAACAGTCACCTTATTAGCCAAGACCTTCTCATTGAGAAAGATCTTTGGGTCACTGAAGGTTAGTTTATTCTGTAGCATTAGTATGTTATGCTTTTAGTTTTCTGCTTCATTCTTTTAATTCATATTGTGAGTTTACTGTTGTGCTCATTTTCATGTATTATAAACTGTTCTGAAAGTAATGCTGGGTGTAACTTGTAGAAGAAAGTGCATGAATAAATGGCAATCAAACAGCAAGTTTGTTTCTGTTATTATACACCATAGTTTATTGTGATTTATGAACACAGATAGAGCCCCACACCAGGTTTGCACCCATCTGCTTAAGGAGGAATCTGGAAGATTCTGCTCCCATTATTATGTCTCTCTACCCAATGAATGGTAGTTAACTATGATTTGTTCAAAATAATTCAACTTCAAACTATAGGTTACAAAGCTAGCTTGCTTAAAACAAATCATAATTAAGATTAACCACAGATTAGTTTTTGGACATACCAAGTTGCATTTCATTTTAAAAGTTTCTGATCTCCTTATGCAGGCAGTGTAGCATGTAAACCTGAGAAGGCCCAAATGATAGTTTATTGTGATAAATCATTGTGATGTTCAAATACAGAAATAGGGTGATCAGAAGTATGCTATGCATTGGCCTAGATCTGATGTAACATTAAATTGCTAGTTAGCACTACCTGAACAAAACACAGGCTATGTAGTGATCAGGAGCAGGTGATTTTAAGGATGTCCTTGCTTTTACATAATAATAGTTAATGTCACAAAAAGGACAAATGGTAGCTAAACTATGGCTTATTGAAACAAACTAAGATCAAACTGGTTTGTACTCATGATTTATTTCAACAAACCATAGTCCAAAATTAAACAGAATTCCAGTTCACAGACAACATAAAACTGTGATCAGCTTTTACCAGGAAGCAGGAGTTTGCAATCTCTTCAGTGCAGTGATGTTGGAACAGGAGCAAGATTGATCAAATACACACGCCTGAGATTTGCTGTTATTCACATAATGCTTAAACATGACTTACTTTTATGCCCAAACTGAGTCACAGAGTTACCAGCACCTTTAAGTGATGAAATGTTTTACAATAAAAAGTAACATAGTCTCCTGTAGCACCTTAAATAATACCATCTGTTGCAAGTGACTAACACAGCTAATGAGGTTTCCTCAACAGAGCAAAGATACAAAATCCATCATTCCAAATTACAGCTGACCTGGGGATCTGGATCCACTGACTGGCATTATAACAGCCTTGCCATATTGGCTGCCTCTTATCAGCCACTTACCTGCTCGATCGTACAGAATGTGGGATCGCTGGAGACCCTCTTTCACATGATCTTCTGTGATGACCACTCCATTAACTGAACCACCATGTGCATTCCTCTGATGAGGGAGTTTAGTTAAGCTGGCCTGGACAGCCATCTGGAGTCCATTCAGTCCAGTCCTTGCATCTCCATCACAAAGGTAGGCGAGCGTGTTTATCGCTTTTCTCTCTATGTGCACACATGATCTGAAATAAAAGCACACAATATTGCTTCTCACAGGGATATGACAACTGAGTTCACTTCATATTGTTCCTGAGGCACTTTTTTGCACTGAGCACTGAAAGTCAAATGGATTTCAGCTTAATCCTTACAACATGTTTCAGGAACTTTCAGGAAGTAGATAATTTGGTGGTAGGAAACCTAGTATTCCCCAATATGAAGGTGGTTAGAGGGATTAGACGAAAGAGGAACCTCCGTAGGAAATGGGTACTGGGGCAAATAGACAAAAGGGTATACCGGGAGGAGGAGACCCGTTGCAGAAGGATTCTTCGCAAGGCGAAGGCTGATTATGAGCTGAGACTTGCCAAGAATATCAAGAGCAACAAAAAGGGCTTCTTTCAGCATGCAAATAGGAAGAAGAAGGGGAGACAAGTTGTGGGACCACTAAACAAGGAGGAAGGAGATCCAGTGACTGATATGAGGGAACAGGCACAGATGCTAAATGACTATTTTGCCTCTGTGTTCCCCCCAAAGCAGGATGGGAAAGATCCGCATAGGAGATTAGATGAGGCTGGGGATTTAGGGGCACAGATTAGAGTCACCCCCCCCCCCTTGAAGTCAAGGGGCTCCACAGGGCATTGGACACCAGGCCCTGAAGGGTTACACCTGAGAGTACTTAGAGAGTTGGCAGGGGTTCTCTCACGCCCGCTGGCCTCCATTTTTGAGGCCTCATGGAGAACAGGTGAAGTTCCAGAGGACTGGAGGGTGGCATCAGTGATCCCAATTTTCAAAAAGGGTAGTAGAAGGGACATGGGGAATTACAGACCTGTTAGCCTTACATCCATTGTAGGAAAAACAATGGAAAGACTCATAATGGAGAGAAATCTAGCAATGCTAGATAGAGAAGGGAGGCTGGCAGCCACACAACACGGCTTCCGCAAAAACAGGTCCTGCCAGACAAACCTTGTGGAATTCTATGACAAGGTTTCGAGATGGCTAGATGGAGGGGATGCAGTGGATGTGGTTTACCTGGATTTCAGCAAGGCCTTTGACAAAGTGCCCCATGATATCCTGGTGGAGAAACTGAGGAGTTTTGGGATACACCAAAGCACTGACCGGTGGATTAGGGGATGGTTGACTGACCAAAAGCAGAGGGTAACCATTAGTGGGGAATCATTGGGATGGTGGCCAGTGACAAGCAGGGTCCCCCAGGGCTCTGTCCTGGGGCTGATCCTGTTCAATCTTTTCATCAATGACATGGAAGAAGGGGTAACAGTCTGCTGATCAAATTTGCAGTTGACACTAAAACTGGAGAGTGGCCACAACTGAAGAGCAGGTACTCCAGATCCAAAAGGATCTGGACAGACTATGGAAGTGGGCAGGAGACAACAGTAAGTACAAGGTCTTAAGTACAAGGATAAGTACAAGGTCTTGCACTTGGGGCACAGAATAGGTTCTCCACCTAAGAAAAAGAAAGCAAATGCATCAATACAAGATGGGGAATATGTGGCTCAACAGAACTGAAAAAGAAAAAAGATCTCGGAGTAATTGTGGACAATAGGCTAAATATGAACCAACAATGTGATGCAGCCACAAAAGGGGCAAAAGCTATTTTGGGATGTATTGATAGAAGTATTACTTCCAAATCATAAGAAGTAGTTCCCCTATACTTCTCACTGGTCAGACCTCATCTGGAATACTGTGTCTAGTTCTGGGCACCAAAATTTAAGAAAGATGCAGAAACATTAGAAAGGGTCCGAAGGAGGGCAAGAAAAATGATCTATGGTCTGGAAACACTGCCCTGTGAGGGGAGACTGAGAGAACTGGGGATATTCAGCCTTGAGAAGAGTAGACTGAGAGGGAGACACGATATTACTCTATAAGTACCTCAAAGGCTGTCACAAAGAGGAAGGTCAAGATTCTCACTGATACCAGAGTGTAGGACATGGCATAATCAATTCAAGTTTCAACAACCCAGAGCAATATGACAGTGGAACCAGAGAGGTCATGGGCTCTCCCACACTGGAGACATTCAAAAAGAAACTGAACTGTCATTTGAATGGGATGGTGTAAATTGGTCTCCTGCAACAGCAGGGGTGAGCCTGATGACCTTCTTGGACCCTTCCAACTCTACTATTCTATGATTCTACTAGATTGGGGAAAGTAGACAACTAATTATTTGAATTACCTAATGATTCTGAACAGAAACTTTAAAATAGCATACCAATCAGATTATAGGTTCAAAGTAATGTTTGAAAAGCAGCACCACCACTATCCATAAATTGAAATTCTAACTCACTTAAACAAAATGCAACAAGAACAAGTAAGTCTTAGAGGAGTTTTAATAATTGCAAATACAACCTATTTTGTGACTGTCTTCTTCAATAACTAGGACCTGCTCCTTTCAAGGCAAAAATATCTGTATCTTACTTGCCCAGTAACAGCATTCTCTATGGCAAGTGTACTCTGATAAAACCTGAAAATACAGTTGATCAGCAAAACAATAAAAAGAAATCTAAAAATGACTGTGGCAGATTTGTGAAGAAAAGTGCCACACGAGGATGACACGTTACATGCATCCCTAGACACAACAAGAAAGGAAGGAAAGAGTAGCCACAGATCTGCTGCTTTTGGCAGCACCGTGATGTTCTCCACAAGGCCCCCTGTATAGCCCCCCACTTATATAGAGAAAACCCACAAAGATCAGTATCTTTGAAAGTTAAATGCAGTTTGTTCAGTAGTTATATACTGACCACCAATTCCATAGAAGCTACAGGTTTGAAACAAACAAAACAAAAAACAAAAACCCAAGCTTGACTGAGCAAATGCTGTGTAAAAGGGAGAGTGATTAAGAGATAACAGAAGAGACAGAGCAAGAGATGAGAAAGGTAAAGGTCTCCCTGGCCCTTACCAAATAACACAGAACATATTGGCAGTGAACTGAACTAGAATATGGTCTGCTATTGATTAAGAAATGCTGCCCTTTCTTCTGGATGCGCTGAAGTATTCTAATTTGTATATGTAAAGCCAAGAGTAGGTATGCAAATGTGATCTAAAGATTCAGCTATCCTTGTTTAATTACAATTTCTTTATTTATTTATTCCATTTAATCCCATCCTTCCTCCCCGGCCCCATTCTGCATGTTATCCTCAGTTACAACAGCCCTGTGAGGGAGGGTGGGGTGAAGGTCACCCAGTTAGCTTTGTGCAGCTCAAATGGGGGACTGTACTTGGGGTGTCCCTCGTCCTCATCCCGCACTCCAACCAGTACTCCACGTGCTTTACTAATAGAGCAACAAGCCAATTTGGCTTTGAAGGCACAAATTGCCATGCTTAGGAATGGGCATGTAGAACTTTTCAATGTGAGCTGTTTCCAGCTATTGACTCATTGCATTTAGCTAACGGGATTACTGTGGGGAGACTGGAATAAGCAGCAATTCCTTACAGAGTATGTTGGGGCCACAAATAAATCCTGGATCACCAGCAGTTCTGCACTTCATTCATTGAGTGATTTACAATCATTTTCTTTAAATGGGCTGCAAGCAACTATAGTCACTGACCTGTTCATCTGTTTATTGTTTCAATTTATATTCTGCTATCATAGCCCATGATTGGGTTCCCTGTGCAGCTAACAACACTTAAAACAACAATATTCTAAAATCAGTGATATGAAAGACATAAACAAAACATCAATAATGCAAAAACATAGCCCAACAAACTAAGATCATTACAAAAAAGATTTAAATGAGCAACCATGAATAAATAATATGAATGAAAATAAAATTATAAACCAGGGTCTTGTTAAAAAAAGATCATTTTAAATCAACTGTTAAAATAGCTGGATGGAAGATAAGTCTTCACGTGGCACCAAAATGGTAACAATTATGGCGCCAGCAAGAAAGCCCTTCTTCTTGCCCCCATCCCCCTCACATCCCTGACAGATGGTTCCTTATCTTAACAGACAGGTAAGGACATATGGGAGAAGGCAGTCCTTCAGGGAAAAAAGGGCCCAAGCTTTTTACAGCTTTAAATATAAGTACAAACACTTTAAACTGGGCCTGGACTAACTGGTAGCCAATGTAGATGATATAAAACTGGAGTAATATGAACCTTTGGACTGGTTCTTGTTGAACAGATTAAATTATACCCTCGATTAAATCAATTATTTAAGCAAATCTGTATATTACTTCCAATATGGGTGCCTTTGGAAGTTATGAAAGGGCAGCCAACCCTTCCTCATTCTATTCCTTTGCTCCACTTATGACTAGATTTGAGAAAGAGCAGAATGGAAATCACAGGGTTGTTCTGCAGAAGAACCCAAGCAACAAGGTGACTTACTTAGCTTCACTTTATTCTCACAACAACGCCCCGTGAAGTAGGTTAAGCGGAGAGTGACTGGCCCCCAGTCACCCACTGAGCTTCATGCCCCAGTGGGGACCTGAACCCAGACTTTTTGAGTCTTCAGTCCAACATCCTAACCACCATACCATGGTGGCTCACTCTGAAGAAATATCCTTGCCATGAGAGATAGGAAAATGACCAACAGGTCTATATGCCCACTGGAATTCCCATCTCAGTGTCCCAGAGAAAAAGTGTCAAGTTAAAAATAAATAGAGGACCATGCATCTGCTTTGCCACCTCCAATCAGCTGTCCCAGCGTGCCCCATGGAGAACAGCTTCAGATGAGGTATCAAGCGATGTACCACACTAAACAGACACAATTTCCTGATTTGAAATATTTCTCAGGCAATGCTAAAAGTGTTATTGACCATCCCACCCTGGGAGCTTTCCCTTCACCCTGTCCATTGAAAGGGAAGTCTGCTATGATCCTAGAGCTGTCACCTTTTGGGGAGAACAGATTTTCCTTAAATTACCAGACTTTCCTATCTGGTAATTTAAACCCTTTAAAATTGTTCATTTCCAGCACAAAAGCCAAGTGAAAAATTAACACAGTGCAATGCAACTGTGTGAGGCGCAGGTTTAAAGCAAATTACCTTCATTTCATTCCACAAGTATCTGAGAAAATT